AATTAAAAAGTTATTCTTATTTTTATAAAACCGTACTTTTTTTTTTTTTTAATATCATTGGAGATTGGATTCCCTTTTTTACCAATGTATTCACTTCCGTTTTTCACATCTCTCAATTTTTTAATCTTCAGAATTTTTAAGAACCTTTTATTATAATCACTATTTGTAAATAGGCTTTTATCATGATTAATGTAATTTTATAGTTATCAATTTTTTTATTTCTTATTTTAGAGGACCACTAGGGAGGGAGAAAACTGGAATTCTTAAGATCTTTTATTATAATTACTATTTGTAAATATAGGCTTTTTATCGTGATTGTTGTAATTTATTATTATTAATTTTGTTTTTAGAGGGCCACTAGGGAGAATACTTCATAGTAATAGGTGTCACCCTCTTAAAATAAAGGTAATTAATTAATTGATGTACATGTTTAGGTGTAAATCATGTCATCATCGTTTGGAGTATATAACGTTGGATGATACGTTTCGGTTATTATTCACGTAAAGGTGAGTAACTTCTCCTCTCTTCCTCTTATCCCAAGGCTTAGAAATGGAATTGTGGCATCTATAAGACTTTTTCTCTCACTAACACCGATATTATTTTTTTAAAAAGAGGGAGCCTTAGATCTACTACAGTGCTTATCAGGTAAGTACCGGCTGGGTACCTGAAGAATGGTGTGACCAGGAAATGTGAAGGAACCTAAAAGGCTTCGGAAAGTTTCACCCCGGGAACGAGTAGCAGGATAGCAAAAGTTAACAACAACACTGAACGAGATCAAGTGAACAGGAAGACGAATTTACTGTGCACAAATGATTTATTTACATAATTATATATCTATAAGTAAATCTTTAGGGACTACCTACATTAACCGGCAAAGACTTAATAAATTATTTGATTATGTCCGCTGGAATAAGATTCAGCACGTGTAAATGGAAGTTTCGATGCCTTTCAATTTTACCCGTTTCCGAAAGAGGTTCATAGTCCTCTTTTGGAACATAATTCATCAAACCTGTACTGAACCTACAATATTGAGCGCTTACCATTCGTATGGAAAACCCGGTAATTCCGGGGAGAATTCAAATGGAACGGTTCATCCGGGTGGAAAATTTCCGAAAAAAAAGAAATACCTTTCGAGGTATTACCTTCTTCCCGTTTTTACCGAAACGACAGAAATTTTTTGTACCATTTGTCTGGTTAACCAGTGCCGGGCTTCCTCTTGAGGCGGAACGTGAAAAATGGCGGTCTTTTCCCAGAAGGGTTATGGTGTTTTGCAAATGGTACAACTCTAACCTGTTCCTCTTTTCGGAAACATTTTTAAGTCCAGTACCATTTGTCAGAAATTTTTCACCGAAATTTCCTTACAAATGGTAAGCGTTCATTGTTTCCTTTTTGAGTTTAATGTAATGCCCGTTCCCAGGTTTTACAAAACTCGGTTAAACGTATATGCAATCGGAGATAGCAAGATCAGTTACTTGTATTTTACTCCAGCCGTTCTGTCTCTTTTGACGTACGTGTATATCAAAATTCCTGAACTTAGTCTGTAAATAGAATATTTCTTAACCTGGTAGTAAATTACAGTCTTATCAGGTAATGAACTTGAAAGTATTCTTAGCCAGCACCTGACAGTGCAGTGCCGTTTTCTGTGAACTACAGCTAGTAACAACTAAAACGTTCTGACTATACTAAGGCTAGATGATGAGATTGATTCGGCTTAAACCGAGTTTCAGTGGAGAGCACGCTACATGTACCGTATTTCCTCGAATAATAGCAGAGGGCGATTATTCGAGGGAGGCGATTATTTTAAATATTACCATCAAAGGGGGGCGATTATTCGAGAGAGGCGATTCATCGAGGGACGGCTATTATTCGAGGAAATACGGTATATTACATTATATGTCCCTTTTCCTTAGAATTAAGGATCAGATAAACGTAAGAAGAGAAGTGTCTCGTCAAAACAACTATGCCGAATTAAAGTTTAATTACAGTCTTATGTAAACACTCTTCGGACTTTAGTATACAACTGTGAATGTAAAAATGTTCCGTCTCCTTTTTTAGAAATGCCAGATGAACGTAAGTAGCTGGAAACAACCTCGTTCCCAGGGTCCTCTCCTACTCGGCCACAGTGTCGCCAGGGTTGAGCTGGAAACTGAGTGTCTATGCTGAATTTAAGTTTCATTAAACAGTTTTTATGCTGCTCGCGGGCCTCTAAAATCTGCAAAAAGGAAAATCTATAATTCATTGGTTATTCCTATCTCTCTTCTCCTTTCAACTTTCAGGTCTTCATCAATGTACTGAGCGTGATATCAAGTATACTTTTTTTTTTTACTTTTTTTTTCGTAAAATTCCTTTTGTCGATACCTTGGGTAAAAGTGTCTTGCTAATATTCTTTATGCTATCCATAAAAAGTCGAAACTAAAAGGTTCTCTGAATCTTTTTTTTGCTTCAGTACGATCTTAGTCTGGCCACGTGATTATGAAGCCTATATACTGACATACTGTGCCTGTGGCCTCCAGCTTTCTGGAAGTAAAATGACTGGTAAAAACTAATTTCTGTTCACAAGGTCTGGTAGCTTGCCTAAAAAAGAGGAAAAATAAGATATCAGAGTTCCCAGAGGTTTGTCTTAATTTTCTCCACGCGAAAAGCAAAACCTCTACGTCCTTGCTACCATAAGATAACAGTAATCTACATTGCCAAAAAATGTTATCATGTACATGTTTAAAAGCTGTTTAGTTAAACAGGGTTTAAAATAGTCTCCTTCTTAAAAGCTGCTTTCT